CACATAATTCAAACACACACAGCGATGATTTCTCATCATAGCAGCAGCCCAAAACAACCAAACGTTGGTAATAAACCTCTTATCAAACAGAGCCTCATTCTAACACCTTCATATACTACCAATGATGAAAGAAGCACGCAACAAATCATAACCATTTATTGTCAAATAGACAAAAGATACAAAGTCTGGTAAAGCGCCTAAAACAATCACTGGAGATGTCATTTTTGTCTCCAACAGAAGGAACATGTCAACTCTCAAGTGTAAGCCCATGGGAGATGATCTCTTTGACATCACACTTTGAGCTTGACCGATGCCCAAGTGCTTTTACAGTTCATATTAATTACCCCAGGCAATAGATGACTGCTCATCAAGTCCCAACCAGGAGAAGTTATCAAGTCTGATCAATTTAAGGTCATAAATTGTGAAGGAATACCAAGGTATCAAAGGCCTTTCGTGAGGAGAAACTGTAAATTCACTTAAGCATAGATTTCTAAGGACATATTAACACTAGAGCAGTGCAATAACCTGAACAGTGCTGCTTCCAAGGCCCAGTACAGGAATTTCAAGAAATAGGATAAGTGCAAGGAGACTTCTTTTTGTGATGTGAGCGCAGAAAAGGAGATGCTTCTGAAGCAACAACAGACCCCAGAGGAGTTAGATGATGATATGCATGGTGGTGCGTTTTCCCTCATCAAAGACGTAATAGTGTAGACTCTTCCCTTGGTTCGACAAAAGCTTTTCTAAGACAAGGACATAAGTAAAAACGTTTCTTTCTCCAGTAAAAGACCGATTACTAACTAATGATTTGGCCATGTTATTTATGCAAACTTGTACTTTAAGCAAAACATTGTTGTTTACAGTTGTAAGAATGCTCAAAATCTTTTGCAGAAAGTTTACAATACAATTAAAACATTAACTTCAGAGTTAGATCAACAACAAGCAATCTCAAACTCCACAATCAAAGGTTCCACCCAACTGTTATGGCTTGTGGGTTCTATTGTACCGTCAGCGATCAGCACAATTTGAGGGTATGAGCTCTTCATCGGTATTTAAATGCTACATATAACACATTAGCAATATCTGAGATGACCAAGAGATCAAATGCCAATTAAACCTTTTTCTTTTTTCAGTCTAGGGCCAAGCCTTAGGACAAACCGCAGCCTTCAGACCTCTGGGATAATGAGCCCGCTCCTCTACCATAAACCTAAATCTACTTACGCTGCGTAATGCCCGCCATGAACTCACTAAGCCCCAGCCTCGAAATCCAAAACAAATGGTTCAATTAAGAATTGGAGTTTGCTCAAAGCTTCAAACTAACCACATTTTGAAACAAAGAACCAAATAATTCCAATATTAGCCCCGTATCGTCCAAGTTTATCAATACAAATAACATAGCAACAATATATATACCAATACCTAGATCTATACAATAACATCGATAAATCTAACCGCAAGTACATATAAGATCCGAATATATTCAAAACAAATTTATATATATTACCTGAATTAGAGCGGTGAATATCGCAAACAGTACATATATATCAATGATCTGTTTCAAAACAAAAACAAAAAATCAATTAAGGATTCAGTAGTATAATTATAATAATCTTTGATATAAAGGATTATATAGCTGATCCCGACTAATTTGACAACATTAGTATTGAGATATATTGATTGATTGATATATAGATCTAAAATTGCTCTTATGAATATAAAAATGGTGAGCAGAGAGAGAGAGAGAGAGGTAACCTTGAGATTAGTGGGAGTTGAAGCGTAAGCAGAACGGAGAGAGTGGAGAAGTGCTTGAGCGTCTTTGGTCGCTGAAGATTTCGCCATTTTTCTCACTCACTTGCGAGTTGCGACCTCTAACTGATGTGAGATGAAAGTCTTAAACCCCTAAACTAAGTATGGAACGGGTTAAAATGAAATATTCAAGGCAGAATTATTTTCGGCCTAGTAAATTTGACACGGATTATTAGTTAGAGCCTTAAACTATTCGTGATCTTAATTATTCTTCTACTTGGACTTTTGAGAGCCTCTGAATGCTCATGTGGCAAAAAGCATGGTGCACTCGTCTACCACGTAGATTTTTCTTCATATGTGTCATTTTTTATGAAAAATAAAATATATTTTTTCCTTTTTAAGTATGTTACTCTTTTATATAATTTTTTTCGAATACAATTTATGATAAAACTTGGATAGAACTACATTCATTAGGCTAAAAAATTTTATTTGGCTAAAAATAATAAAATTTTAGTTAATCCTTTTTTGAATTTGACTTGATAATAAAGATTTATACTATGAAATAAATAGTCAAGGCACCTAAAAAGTTATAAAAATACATAGTTTGAAATTAATTATTTTGGCTATAAGTTTTTATATATCTCTAAATTATGGTACTCTAAAAATATACTTTATACAGATTTTACCTGAAAAAGTAAAAATACACAGTTGAAATAAATAGTCATTGCATCAAAAGAAGAAATAAAAATAATATATCCATAGAGTAAGTTATTTTTTGCTCATAAAGTTAGGGTCTCTCTGGGTAGGGTCGGACTGCAATGGTCGAGGTCACTTGGTATCGTTGATGCGCCCGATGGTAGATATGATGCTGACAACATCAACATTGAAGTTATATTTCGATAACCTTAGTGCATCCCTGGCCCCGAGTGGCTTATCGAAACCGTTTTCGCTCATCAGTCCTCGGCTACTGAGGCATCGATTGCTCTTATTCTCATTCCTTGAAGGGTGAGGCTCGGATCCGTTACCCCTTCGATCTCCGATATACGGTTGGTACCGATCTCTGCTTGGTCTCGGTTCGTGATTGACGGCTTTCCTAACCTGTCATTGGCTCTGATAGGATAAATAAACCTAGAAGAGGCCCCGAGCTAATAGTCATCGATCCTAATTTTTGACTGGTACCTGTTATAGACGTCGGCCCAAGTTACAGCCGGGTACTCTACCAAATTTGTTTTACCTACTGTGAATCCAAGGAGTTTCGGAGGTCAAGTCCTTGAGTGAATGCCTTAACGACCCAATCATCCGCAACCGAAGGCAAGTCCATCCGTTCCATTTGAAACCTTGATACGAACTAAGCATTTCTTTGTCTCTTTGCTTTACCTTGAAAAGATCAGTTTTTATGGTTTTGACCTTGATGGCCTCGGCGTGTGATTTCACAAAAGCATCTGCAAGTGTAACAAACGAATCAATAGAATTTGGGGGTAAGTTGTGATACCAATCATTTCTCCTTTTGACAGAGTTTCTCCGAACTTCTTTAGCAAGACCGACTCGATTTCGTCATCTTCTAAGGCATTCCCTTTGATGGCATACGTCTAGGAGGTCACGTGCTTATTTGGATCCGTGGTTCCGTTATATTTCAGAATATCGGGCATACGAACTTCTTCGGGATTGGCTTCGGTGCTGATCTCGAAGGAAAAGGCTTTTGGACAAATTTCTTGGAGTCCAGGCCTTTCAATATCGGAGGCGCTCCTGGGATTTTATTGACCCTAGAGTTATAGGTCTTCACTTTTTTGTCCTTGGCCTCAATTTTCTTCTCCCCTAATTCCACCCACTTTGTCATTTCCTCGAGCATTTTTATTATTTCGGGGTTGGTCTCGGGCTTAGACTCATCCGCCCTCCCGGTGCTTTACTCACTCATTCGGGTACTCCCCCGGGATCGTTCGGGCGACCCTACCAATGTGGCCTTGATTTTTTAGCTGTAATATCGCCGCTTGTTGAGCCTGTAACATTTCGAATATTAACTGCAGGATTATCCCATCACCTCTACCTTCAGGAGTTTCTCGAACCGTTGCTCGTGGGCTTCTGTGAATGTTGTTCTCGGGGTTAATTGGCAGGTGGACATCGATAGCAACCTGTGAATGTGTGTCGATTGGATCGGCAACGGGACTCCGTTGGGATCAATATGGGTACCTCATTGCTAGGTACCATATTGTTGTTTTCGCCATGATGACCAGACTCAGCATCAACATCTAAGTGAGGAGACTGAGAGTTTGACATTTTTCAAGCTAACCTGAAATTGGAAACTTAAAGAACAAGCGTAAAATAGAGTGTGTTAAGGAAAATTGTATCAAATTACTACTATTATCCTTAGTCCCATGGTGGGCGCTAAACTATTTACCCTTAAAACTGGATAAGAAATGAATTTATACGCGGTTTTAAGGATATGTGGATTAATCCAATACAAGTGACCAATATCGCAAATTAAAGATAAAATAAATAGCCAAACCAGTTGTAGTATTGAGTTCGGCTCGGTTGTGAGCTTAACAATTAGTCCGCGTTCAATTCGGAGCCAAAATATATATATATATATATATGAAAAGCTATGAACAAGAATTAAAACCTTTGAATAGCTTTGAAACAGAGAAAACATGTCTATATTGCCTTGATATGCGTGTTCTCGTATCCTTCTTGAATAAAAGTTATCTCCTTTATATGGTAAGAGAGTTTTATCCATAGTACAATTCTAAGAAAGGTAAAAGTCTTCTTTTTAATTAATCATCGATATGCTGTCAATACGGGCCGAGATTCACGCCGTGATATCCGATCGGGCACGGATATCACGACCCTTCGCAAGTTGGGTGCAACTGCTTTGTAGTGTTTTCCGAAGTCATGAGGCTCGTACGGGGTTGGGGCATTATCTTATCAGGCCCGGTGACGAGCACTCCGCTCGGGCCTTACTATGAGAAGCTCCGAGCTTCGATTCTGATTCCATATAATCGTGTATTTACTTCGTTTGCCTCACCGAGAAATAGGGGTGCCATTAACCCTGATTCCACCGTATACAATAAGTACTATTAAATTTCCATAATTCATTTCCTTTTCCAATCCCCACGTAATGATTCTTTAAAAAAAGGCGAAATACATAAACGACCCCTTTAAGTTGTCCTCAACGATAAGGCAAACACTTCAACTGAGCCCATTTTCAGTTGGACACTTCAAGCCTTCAATAAAGTAAGCCAACTAAACACCTCATGCTGACATACCATATTGTGTGTTTCTCAATCCAATTTCAGTGTGTGAATGACTTAAATTACTACCTAATGTTTACCCCAACCCCCATTCTACCGGTCCATGAAACAGTTATCCTAAAATGTCACTCCAGCCACTGTACCACCCAACAAACAACTCACCACCACCAGTGAAAGGCAGTCAGCCACCTTCCGAGGGACCAATGTGACTTTGTAAAAAAGTAGCTAAATTGCTCATGTAGAGAAGAAGTTGGGTGCGAGGGATGTTGTGGTCATTAGCGGTGTCAGCGAGGGCTATGGCAAAAGTGGCGGTGGTTGGGAGAAGAATAAAGAAGACGTAATAAGTAATGGAGAAAGGAGTGGTGGGGAAGGAAGAGGGATGAAATGTCTTGGGTTCTTGCAGATTTTGGTTTTTGAGCAAAACCTTGGCCGGCTATTGAAAGAAAAAGCTTGCATCTGCTTCCCCTATTANATATCATAGTCGACATAAGGAGACTTGTACCTTTGGGGGCATATTAGTCCACTCAATATTTTATTCTCTCTAGATACAAAAAGAAGAAAAACCACTCGCTGGAGTGGACGCGATATTCATCCGTCGACTTCTCTACATCTTTATGTAAATCCCTCGATCTTTGATCTGTGTGAAAATTCAGTTTTTTTTTTTTAAAGTATTCTCACATGCATGTTTTGGGTGTGTGTGTTTGTCTTGTTTATTGTTATTATATCTAAAATATGTGTGTGGATGTTAGTAACTTAGTATATATTGTGTTTTATTGTTAATAGTGAATATATGATGTTTTATGGTGTTAAAGTTGAAGGCTCTGTTGTGATATTTTCAAAAAGTGGACAAATGTTCAACCATGTATCAATTTGCATGGAAAGTTCAAAATATGTGGCAACTTGCATGGGAAGTTCAAAACAAGTGTCATACACTTAGCATGCCTAAAGCCTCTCAATTAGCCTATAAATAGGCCTTCAAATAGCCATCATGCATCAGCACATTTCACTTTGCCTCTTTCGTTCCTTTTCTTCCTCCTTAAAACATTTATAGTCTACTTTGCTTTGTTCCCTCTTTTAAAATAGTTGTGTTTGTAATTTACTATTTTGTTGATTCCTGTATCCTCTCTAACAGAGATGGGCTTGTTTAATCCTGGGGAAACATTTCACATTGCTGAAATAGTTTCTTAGGACAGTGCCTAGCACGACTCAAGCCAGTTGGTGTATTTTCGCTCACAAATCATTTTATTGCAGTATTATTATTATTGTTGTTATTTTCGGTGTCATTTCCCTACAATCTAAGAAACTATGGCAAGTAATACTACTACGGAAATTTTTGATGGTGCTACCAATTTTGGTGTTGTCTCTACTGCTACTGTTCCAACTGTCCTGCCAGATATCCATGTGTTGCAAATACGTTATTGCATCCACAACTTTGGCAGACACTAATGTCCAAACACAGGTATGTGAATAGACATGGTTACATATCCAATGCTAATATTAAAACCTTCAAGAAAAATGCACCTCAATGCAATAGTAGAGTTGGGATAATTGACAATCTCGCTAAGTCAAAATTAAATTTGACCAAAGCAGATGATATAATTATTGCGGTCATCTCCCAAATAAATAATGTGGCCAGTGTAGAGATTGGGTGATAGACTCTGGTGCTACTAGGCACATTTGTGCAAACAAAAATGAATTTTTGTATTACACCCAAGTTGAGGAAGGAGAAGAAACTATTTATCTTGGTGACTCAAGAACAACTCGTGTTCTTGGGAAAGGAAAAATTCTTCTCAAACTCACATCTGGTTATTGCATGTTCCTAATATCCAAACCAATTTGGTTTCTGTGGGGTTATTAGAAAATGTTGGAGTGAATGTTTCATTTGAAAATAATGAGGTCGTATTGACCAAAAATGATATTTTTGTGGATA